TGGGGGGGGGGGGGGGGGGCCCCTGGTGTGTTGGGCAGAGAGGGGCCCCGTTTCTCGGGGGGGGTGTGGGGTGGGGGGGGGGGGGGGGGGGGTGGGGGGCACCTCTGTGCTGTGCGCTAGAGTAGCGCCACGTTACTGCTGGCAGTTGTTGATGGGGGTGGGGTTAGGATGTGTGAGAGAAGCGGAGCACTATGTCTGTAGCATTTTAGCTAGCACATCTGTATTGTATGCCACTAGCTTAGCGCTATGTTAGTGCTGGCAGTTGTCGACGGGACGTGGGGTTAGGATGAGTGAGAGAAGCAGAGCCTGCTCTATTAACACAAGAAGAGCTGTTGGTCAGGCTACTTCTTGTTGTGCCGTGCTCCCTAGAATAGTTATTGAATTGTGTGTTTACTTATGCAGGTAAACGTAGATGTTTAACAACCCGTTAAAATACACCAGAATGCAGGAATAGGCATCTACTTTATTCAAAATTTGTATTCATAAATTTAGACCACACTTAAGTCACAGGGAGACTTTTTTTAATCTAGTTTGAACTCAGACCATATCAATGACAATATGTCACTACATGAAATGGCTTATACCTAAGTCCTTTGAGTTGTCATCCCACTATGATGTACAAATCAACCAAAAGGTGGTTGGCTGTTGCAGAGTCTTGGTAAAAACGTAAGGTGCGTAATACGGACACAGTAGATGATGAATGGGGGAGCATGGTGACAGAGTATCCATGCATGGTATGACACACACCAAGCATGGTTTGGTAGCTGAGAAGCTGAGGCAGAACTGGCCGTGCTGTCCCCATGCCTTGGCTATGAATGGTTTCATGGGAAGAAACCATCAAAACAACCGTGCACAGACCTGACATCAGTAGATGCAGCCGGATGTGATGTGAAAGAGTCATGCCAATGCAGGTGTACAGACTGTGGTGAGCATTCAGGAGAGTGTTCGGGAGACCCATGAAATTACAGGAAAAACCCTATTTAGTGAGTACGAAGTACCATCGTCTCCTTCACACTGAAGGAGGTTTTACACATTTTCCACAAATCAGCCATATTCAAATAGGTCATGTAGATGATATAGAGTGATGCTGACATCTGTCAAAGTGTGAAGAGGGTCTAACTGGGTGCATGTGGACAAGGTGTTTGGTTATACTGTAATTACTTATGTCACTTTCTTTATACCGATAAAAGAAGACTCCAGCAAAGTCTGGCTCAATATACACTTTATGTAAGATTTTGAGGCAGCATGTTGGCACAACTGGTAGAGATGCTGCTTCTCAGCGAGCAGGTTACCCTGGTTCAATTCCTGGTCTGGGGGCCTTTCTGGGTGGAGTTTGCATGTTCTCTCCGTGCATGCGTGGGTTTTCTCTGGGTACTCTGGTTTCCTCCCACAGACCAAAAACATGCATGTTAGGCTGATTGGTAACTCTAAATTGTCCCTAGGTGTGAGTGAGAGAGTGAATGGTTGTTTGTCTTGTATGTCTCTATTGGCCCTGTGATGGACTGGAGACCTGTCCTGTGTGTACCCCACCCCACACACAGTGATTGCTGGATATGGGCACCGGCGACCTCCGTGACCCAAAAAGGAAGAAGTGGGTAAAAGATAATGGATCGATGGATCGATGTCAGTTTTTATGTTGTAAAAAGCATAATTTTAATGAAAATCCTGTGAAAATGGATGCAATTTTTACATAATTGACTTTAAACCAGTGGGCCACAGAGCTGCCCTAAAAGTACAATTTGTGAGCCCTTATTTTAAAGCCATCATTTCCCCCCATAAAATAACAGTTGTTACATGTTCCTTTTGTTTGTCTATTCACAAGTGAAAAAGCACTTGATCGAAATGGCTGAGGTTCATACTATTTCTTTTTTTTTTTTCCAAACAAAGTATTTGCTACATTCATTCATTCATGAGTGCAGTGTTTCTATAACTTTCATGGTGAACATGGGCTTAGCGATTCTGCGCACCAGCAGTCCCCATGGAAACGACCACCTTTCTGTCTTTTAATTGCTCCATAAATGCTCACAGTGTGATGATACCTCAATATATCTGATTAAAGCCACTGATTAAACCCCCCTCAGCTTTAATTTTGTGCTCATGTTAGTGTTTAGAGCGTTGCCATGGAACACCCGATGGGGTTTTGTTGTTTAATGGAGGAAACCACTCGACTGGTCAACAGCACTGCTACTCCTAATGGAACCATGTCCATTATTAACACTTAAATTTGGCTGGACTCATGAAAAGACATAGAGGCATGAAAGTTCTCCATCACTGAATTTATATTTCACTTTCTCTAACTCCACAGAAACCTTCAGCAGTCCAGTCATGATCAAAGTAAAACATTTATGTGCAGACTGAACGATGCTGATGGATTATGGTTTGTAACAAAATGGGTTTCTCAACAGCAGTGTATGCACATTGTCAGGATTATTTTAAGATGAAGTACTATGTTGTTGAAAGGTGTTCACTGAAAAAACATGTTTATGTATATGCTAGCACATTGGAGGGCTGAGCCTCACAGTTTCGTCCCATTAAGGAGTCATCAATCTGTGGCGATACTGCTGTTCGGGCTCATACAGTCAGTCACCTGACTATATTGTTTTATATTAACTTCTAAAAACAGCAATAAACTTTGGGCACCGAGCAATGACAATAAACATCTTTGTCAAACTGTTTTAGTTTGTTGCAACACAGTCATGGGACCACAGTTCATTAAAAATAAACTATTGAGATGGTTAATTGCATATTTTTGCACCTATTCTGTTTTCCATTAGAGCGTTGGTCCATATAGTTTATATTCCTTCAGTTTGTAGGTGATTAATTGTAATGTATGATTCGTTTCTCCTGTTTGACTCTTGTTTGTGCCGATGTTTGAAAGTTTAACCTTTTAGAATTTGTGATCTGATCGTCTTAGTTTTGAACACATAAAATGTATTAAAGAAAACCTGGTTAAACTAAAGAGACGAGAAAACTGTTTCACTGTCCGTGTGCATACTGTAAGTAAACAATCTAACAATAAATCTCTCTCAGCCCTGGCAGAAATAAAGATTTTAGGACTAGAGAAAAAGGACTAAAATACTTGGATGGAAGTGTACCCTGTTTCTGAAACAAGTTAACTCATTTTAAGTCATTATTGTACAAATTAAATACATTTACCATCACTGAGACTCTCCACGCGAACCAACAACAGTTATCCAAATACATAAAATAATGTCTGGTGTGTTACAAAGGGAGGTACCGTAACTTCTAAGTCCTTTCATACCGAGACCTCTAGACACAAAAAGCAGAATAGAAGTAAATAGCAGGAGTTAATACTATACTAGTTTAAAGTTTTATGAAGCCAAAACACTGTTTTCTTTTTTTTTTTTCAAACAAAACCCTACTTCTATGTTTAAATGAGAATTGTTTGTTTGTAGTGAGGAAAATTTTATTTTAGTAATTTTTCCAAATGTGAATTATCATGCTCAAAATATCCTGTGCTACAGTTCAAGTTCAAGTTCAAGGTTCTTTATTTTCATTTGCACCACATGTGATACATGAGATGGAACGGAATTATGTACTCAGGGTCCCAGTTACATCCAAAAATAGCAAAAATATAAAGTATAAAAAGAAACAGTATATAAGGAGCTAAGGTACAGTATATGAAATTAAACTGATTAACTGCTGCGATGGTTAGTTTGAATGTGATTGTAGGAATTTAGTTATCTTGTATGTTCATTAAAAACAAGTCTCTTGAGATTGATACCCTGTCTTAATAAGATTATCTGAATAAAAATAGTCAAATAAAACAAGTAGGTTAATTTCTACACACATCTACATCAATGTAATGCAGAAAAATTAAAAATCAGTATTCACTTTCACAATTTTTTGGTGATTGTTTAGGAAACTATCTTGTGAATTATTCTTGGCAATTCAAATTTTAGCTAAATATTTGTAAAATTGACTAAATTACAGTGGTCTGTCTGTTTTCTATTGTTGATTAGCCATGGTGGCCATCTTAGATCCAGTTGAAACCAATAGTCAGTTTACAGCTTGTGTACAAGGATTACTTGTTTGGAAATTGAGAAAAATCTATCAACTTAATCATGAGATAATTTGCTAACCAACCCATCCATCCATCCATCCATCCATCCATCCGTGTCTCCCCTAGTTTACTTGCCTTGGCAGAGTGCACATATTTTCAATTATTATCGATGGTTGAGGGGTGGGGATGGAGACACGTTTGTGTTGTGCTCTGTTTGTACCAACAGTTTTTGAGGGGGGCAAGGGCTCAGCGTGAGGTAGAAGGAGCGCTACCTCTATAGCTTTTTAGCTAGTGCGTCTGTATTACATGCTGCTAGGTTAGCACTACGTCAGTACCAGCAGTTGTCAATGGGGAAGGGAGGCAGTTCGGTAGGCAGGGTGCTCAGTTTTGTTGACAGGGCGGCGGGCCCTCCTTGTATAATGGTAAGAGAAACACTGCATCCATTATCATTACCTGCTTCTTCCTTTACGGGTTGCGATGGTCACTTGTGCCCATATCCAGCATTCACTGTGTGAAAGGTAGGGGGCACCATGGACAGGTCTCGAGTCCATCACAGGAATACGAGACAAACAACTATCTGCACTCACTCACACCTAGGGACAATTTCGAGTTACCAATCAGTCTAACAATCATGTTTTTGGTCTATGGGAGGAAATCAAAGTACCCGGAGAAAACCCATGCATGCACTGAGAGAACATGCAAACTCCACCCAGAAAGGTACCCTGCAGGGATTTGATATGGCAACCTTCTCACTGAGAAGCAACAGCTCTACCAACTGCACCACCGTGCCACCTAATAATTTGTTAACAACACATAAATGAAGGCACACACACTGACATGAGCAAAAAACATTCTTGCCCGCCATCCACCTTTTGGCAGCAGTCAACAATTAAGTTTAGGCTGTTTATAGTGAGACTGTTTGTTTACAGCAGTTCGTAAACATAAACCACTTTTGTTTTTTTTCTTATGTGTGCAGATTCTTTCTGGCGAACTGTGTGCGTTCTTCATCAAAGCAGAGGGAACCCAGGAGAAGACCATCGTCACTGCAGACTGCTGCTACTTCAACCCCTTACTCAGACGCATTGTACGCTTCTTAGGTAATCCTTCTTTACATCACTGTGAAAAGACTCATTGCAGGATTTTCCCAGGATGTGTAAAACAAGAAACAGACTGACACCATCAGAGACGAGGTTGAGTTGTGAAAACGTGACCTGTTGACCTTCAGTTTGTCTCAGCTGTTAATTGGATGACAAAAATGAGCTGTAATTCTTTTTAGGTAGAAGATTCATGATCATGGCAGGGAAACTGACATGAATATTAAGCAGCTTGCAAATTTGCATCCTGAACGTAATTAGTTGAGGTGAAGATTGCTGCTGTGATTTCACACCTCGACTGAAAATAATGTGTTGGGGCTATTTTAGGAGTGGGGAAAAACAGCTTATCATCTGTTTTATCTCAGTGCTCATGTTGTGATATCAAGCTCGGGCAAAGTTTTTATCTGCTTTTATCTGATGTGCAAAAAATAAAAAATAAAGCTCCTTTATCCTGGTATCAACTTTTCCTTATTAATCTGACTCCTCTTCATTCTTGTCTTTTACCCAGGCGTGTATGCCTTTGGTTTGTTCACCACCAGCATTTTTGCCAATGCCGGCCAGGTGGTGACAGGAAACCAGGCGCCTCACTTCCTGTCTGCCTGCCGACCAAACTACACAGTGCTAGGCTGTCAGTCAACCATGCAGTACATTACAGAGCGCCGCGCCTGCACAGGCAACCCTCTGATTGTCCTGTCTGCACGTAAATCCTTCCCATCTAAGGATGCAGCGCTCAGCGTGTACTCGGCAGTTTACACAGTGGTAGGTTGGAGCATAGTGCTGGTGGTCGTACTATCTCCTGCTTATTTATTCCCTGCTGATCGTTCTCAGTTTCAGTTTCTGTTGTGTTTAAATAAAAGCTAAGATACTGTTTGTTGGACTTGCGACCCGTCCAGGGTGTACCCCGCCCCTCGCACAGTGATTGCTGGACATGGGCACCAGTGACCCCCGTGACCCAAAATGGAATGAACTTGAATTTTTTTAATATATGAAAGAATTGGAAGAATGTTGTGTTTGACTTTGTAGTTTTATACAAACCTCATGCGGTTGGAATGATACGTGTGTTTGCATGCTCATTGTGTCTTGTTGGGTTTGTTGTACCCGGCCATGTGTGTTCTTTTCTGCAGATGTACGTTACGCTGGTGTTCAAGACCAAAGGCACGCGGCTCACCAAGCCCACCATCAGCCTCACCCTGCTCTGCCTGGCCGTGCTGGTGGGAGTGGTCCGGGTGGCTGAGTACCGAAACCACTGGGCTGATGTGCTAGCCGGGTTCTTCACAGGTGGAGCCATTGCTGTGTTCTTGGTGAGGAGAAAATAGGAGGGAACAAGGGAATATCATGAAAAAGTTCAATTTTTTTATCTATCATTTCAACAAGTGAAACTCATATTTTATAGATTCGTTAAACATAGAGTGAAATATTTCAAGCCTTTATTTTTTTGTAATTTTGATGATTATGGCTTACAAATAATGAAAAAAAATTTAAGTGTCTAAAAAAACATCCATCCAAAAAAAATCACTTCTGCTCAGTTTACTTGTCTCAATTTGGGACGTTTGGGGTGTTTTGTTTACCTCAATCTATGCAACAGAAAATGCTTGTGCCTCTAGCCATGGCTGAGGTCGCCGAGGTAATTAAAAAGCTCCGAGGCAGCAGGGTTCTGGGAGTGGATGAGATTCACCCTGATTTCCTTAAGGCTCTGGATGCTGTGGGGCTGTCTTGGCTGACACGCCTTTGCAACGTCACATGGACATCGGGGGCAGTGCCACTGTATTGGCAAAATGGGGTGGTGGTTCCCCTCTTCAAAAAGGGGGACTGGAGGGTGTGCTCCAATTATAGGGGCATCACTCTCCTTAGTCTCCCTAGTAAGGTCTATTCAGGGGTACTGGAGAAGCGATCACTGGTCGAACCTCAGATCCATAAGGAACAATGTGGGTTCTGTCCTGGCTGTGTAACACTGGATCAGCTCTTTACCCTCACTAAGGCCCTTGAGGGGTCATGGGAGTTTGCCCATCCAGTCTACATGTGTTTTGTGGACTTGGAGAAGGCATTTGACCGTGTTCTTCGTGGTACACTGTGGGGGGTGCTCAGTGAGTAAGGGATTGGAGACCCGTTGTTACGGGCTGTTCAGTCCCTATACAAGAGGTGCGAGAGTTTGGTTCGTATTGCCGGCAGTAAGTCAGACTCCTTCAGGGTGGGAGTTGGACTCCACCAGGGCTGCACGTTATCACAGATTCTGTTCATAAATTTTATGGACAGAATTTCTCGGTGCGGCCAGCTGGTGGAGGGTTTCCGGTTCATTGGCCTCAGCATTCCATCTCTGCTCTTTGTAGATTATGTGGTCCTGTTGACGTCATCGTGTCGTGATCTTCAGCTCTCACTGCAGCGGTTCACAGCCAAGTGTGAAGCGGCTGGGATGAGAATCAGCACCTCCAAATCTGAAGCCACGGTCCTCAACCGAAAAAGAGTGGATTGCTCTCTTCAGGTCGAGGGTGAGGTTCTGCCTCAAGTGGAGGCGTTCAAGTATTTCAGGATTTTGGTCATGAGTGAGGGAAGAATGGAGTGTGAGATTGACATATGGATTGGTGCAGCCTCTGCAGTATTGCAGACTCTGTACCGGTCCGTTGTGGTGAAGAGAGAGCTGAGCTGTAAGGCAAAGCTCTCTGTTTACCGGTCAGTCTATGTTCCTACCCTCACCTATGGTCATAAGCTCTGGGTAGTGACTGAAAGAATGAGATCGCGGATACATGTGGTTGAAATTAATTTTTTCCGCAGGGTATCTGGACTCTCCCTTAGTGATAGGGTGAGAAGTTCAGTTATCTGGGAGAGACTCAGAGTAGAACCGCTATTCCTTCACTTTGAGAGGAGCCAGTTGAGGTGGTTCAGGCATGTGGTAAGGATGCCCCCATGGCGCCTCCCTAAGGAGGTGCTTCAGGCATGTCCAACTGGGAGGAGACCCTGGGCAAGACCCAGGACACGCTGGAGAGACTATGTCTCTCGGTTGGCCTGGGAACGCCTTGGAATCCTCCCAGAAGAGATGGAAGTGGTGGCTGTGGAAAGAGATGGCTGGGTCTCCCTGCTCAAGCTGCTGCCCCCGTGACCCGACTTTGTAATAAGCAGATGATAATGGATGGATGGAAGTTAGCAAACAACACAGAGGTGTCTCTCCCTCTTCTCCTGCCCCACATGACCTTGGTGAGTTGTAGGTAACCAGGAACACTCGAGGTGGACTTTTATTGGTTTGAGTATTCTCCTATTAATCAAATGGGATGGATTTGTTCACAAAGAAATAGAAACAGTGCTGGGTGAACTATTATTTCATGGGAAATGTGTGTGTGTGTCCACCAGCAGCCACATGCTGAAGTGTCCCTGGGCAAGACTCTGAACCCCTCATTGCCTCCGATGTGTGTCTCTTCGGTGTGCAAATGTGATCTAATGCCCTGAGCAGTCTTGTACAGATATTGTAGAGTGCTGTATGAATGGGTAAATGAGGGTACATATTGTAGTGAAAATCACTTTGAGTGTCTTGATAAGATAGAAAGGTGATATATAAGTAAAGTCCATGTATCTAAATTCCTTTTTCAAATTTGTCACCCTTCAAGCTTGTATAGTTTGAGCTCTTTACCTCCATCTTCATCTCACCTTTGGCAAATACTTGTTGTTGTTTTTAAGTCATGACTAAATAATTTATTTTCATTGCAAAGTACTGTAAGAAAGCAGCTGAATATTTTTTTTTCTTTTTTTATGTTCCTCTATAATACTTTTTGTCTCCAGGTGACTTGTGTGATCAACAACTTCCAACAGTTTCTACCCAGCCCACCTCCACTGGGACCCCAACGCCCTGAGTCGATGCTGGGTGTGCCCATGGTGGCGCTTCCATGTGTGGAGAGTCCACTCGAAAAGTTAAGTGGCACTCAGGTAAGGGGCAGGGGTGGGTGTGAGGAACTGCCATGCTCCCCAAATGTTTGAGATAAACACCTCTTGTCTTTTTATTGACACCTTCTTTCACACCCCCTGTTAAAGGCCAAACATGCATGTCTCAAGCCCCACATGCACCCCTGGTATCAACTGACACCAAAGTAAATCCTTTACATTTTTGCACACCCTTTTCTTGTTGCAGTCTGATAAGAACATAGATTTGTCAGGATAGAACAAATTCTAGTCTGAATCCTTATGGTAGTATCTCATTGGATTGAAATTACTGGAGTCTAGTTTATTATTCATAATTGCAAACAGGCTGAAATTTTAGTGTTTGCAACCAGCAAACTGTGCACCAACTGTTTGAATTGACAGTTTTTAAATATTGCAGCCTACTTTTGTGTGCAAAACTAAAAGAACTATATTCTAAACTGGAAATGTTATTTCATTTCCCAACACCACCCATATCATGTTCGTCTTGATCCACTTGAGCCAATTTTGGTAGCTCCCCCTACAATTTAATCTACTGGAGTGCAACTTCAAAATGAAGATAGGCAAATTTGAACTAGTGTTTAGAAAATTATTACAGTAACCATTGTTGCTAGTCCTGGACATTCAGGGCTATAGCCTTGAAAGATTCTCTGTTTTCGGAGTTTCATTTAGCAGTCAAAATACTATTATTGTAGACATTACCAAAACTAAATTAAGAAGGGAACAGAACAAGTTAGAGAAGCCTATAGTAACTCTTCAACTATTGTGACCAAATATATATATATATATATATATATATATATATTTGG